ATTTTAGCGATTGCAAACTTATTCGAATTAATTCATGCAAACATATACATACAGCTTAAATTGCATGTTTTATTGTTGTATTAAGAGCACTTGTGTGAAGCAAAAAAACTACTGATTCTTTTTTTCTTTTTCTTTTTTTTAAATACGAGTTAGTTTTCCTGTTTTCTTTGTGACACTGAACACTTGAACAGTTTGCGTAAAAACAATTGTGGTCTTTCAAACATTTATTCTGTAGTTGAACATGAAGCTATAACATTTTTCTTTCTTTGTAACTGTTTTGTCTCTGATGCTTTTTGAAATTTCCTCATTTTTTGTTTGCAATTTTGTCATTTGTGAAAACAAAAAAGTTTATATTTCATTTTTCTTTTTTTTGTAGCTCTGTTGAATCCATTTATTCTCATGTTATGAGCTGTGTGTGTGTGTGTGTGTGTGTGTGTGTGTGTGTGTGTGTGTGTGTGTGTGTGTGTGTGTGTGTGTGTGTGTGTGTGTGTGTGTGTGTGTGTGTGTGTGTGTGTGTGTGTGTGTGTGTGTGCGCGCTCACATGCTTCAAATATCAACTGTGTAACTCCAGAGTATTTTTTTTTTAATGTTGGGGGAAAAACATCATACATTACAGAGTGCCTTAAGCTATTAAATCTTGAATTTGTGCATATATGACTGCTGTGCCTTAAATTGTTTTGTTTTTTGTTGTTGTTGTGTGTTCAGTTTTTAAAAATACGGTTTACTTTTGTTTTTCTTTAAATAGTTTACTAAATACTGCTGGGATGCAACGGTTGTAAAAAAACAAACAAAAAAAAACTGTCTATGCTTTGTGTACAAGCCATAAATAAAACTGTTATCTTTCATTCTGAGTGTACAGTCAGCAGTTACCACACTTTGTGTTACTATTTATTGATGTCAACATTTCTGCTTTAAGAACATGAATTATATTAGACAATAATGAGGGAAATATTGAAATGGCAGCAGATGAATAAATTCTCCAAAGTGGCCGATCTAATAAGTGACACCATCATCATAACAAGGTGACTTTTGATGTGCTGACGCTCACAGATCTCAGGCTCGCTGTCAGGGGAGGATTTCTTGATCCGTTTTGGCTGCGATGTGCCAGCTTGGAGACGAGCCTGAGGCAGACTGCTTAGGTTTCCCTGGCAGTTTTGTGATCTGTTCTTTTTATTTAAAACCTGGACAAAAACAAATACAGTTCAAAATAAAATCCAGTACTCATAACAAGTCATGAGTATATCGAGGGGGAGAGCTTAGGTTTAGTAGTTTGGAGACAAAGTTAGAGAAGAAAGACTGAGATGGTTTGGACATGTGCAGAAAGAAAATTGGATATACTGAAAAAAGGATGTTGAATAGAAGGGAAAAGAAGAACACCACAGAGGATGTTCATGTATAGAGTGAAGGAGGACATGCAGAGGGTTGGTGTGATAGAGGATGCTAGAGATGCTAGAGATAGGGTGAAATGGAGACAGATAATCTGCTGTGGTGACCCCTAAAGGGAGCAGCTGAAAAAAGAAAACGACTTAAACTTCGTTATACCTTAGTTATACCTGACTACTACCATGTTGAACCCCCCTTTTTTGCCAACAGAACTGCCTTAAGTCTTCATTGCATGGATTTAACAAGGTGCTAGGAGCATATTTGGTCCATGTTAACATGATAGCATCACACAGAACATGGTGCATTATCCTGCTGCAAATAGCCATCAGAAAATGCGGGTACACTGTAGTCATAAAGGGATGGACACAGTTAGCAACAATATTCAGACAGGCTGTGGCATTTTAATGATAGTTGGTACAAAGAGGCCCAAAGTGTGCCAAGATTTTTTTTCCTTTTGTTGATGCAAAATCCTGACCCTACCAAGTGAATGTAACAATATAAATTGACTGATTTTGCATGTTTTCTTTTTTTTAGATAAATTATTGTCAAATTTCGGTGACTGTGCAATTTGTAGCCTCAGTTTCCTGTTCTTAGCAGACACGAGTGGCACAGGATGTGGTTTTCTTTAGCCCATCTGCCTCAAGGCTTATCGTTTTCAGAGGCTCTTCTGCATACCTTGGTGGTAACAAGCAGATTTTTGAGTAACTGTTACCTTCCTGTCAGCTTGAGGCAGTCTGGCTTGTTCCTTGAGCTTTAGCATCAACAACTGCCGCTCAGGTTTTATCACTATTCTCTGTAAACCTTAAAGATTGCATATCCCAGCAGACCAGCAGTTTCTAAAATACTCAAACCACCCACGTTCCCAAATCTGATGCTCAGTTTGAACATCTACAGGTTTTCCTGCCCATGAGCTGCTGCCATCATGACTGGCTGATCATATATTTGCATTAATGAGCAGCTGAGCAGTGTAGCTGACAAAGTGTTCGGTGAGTGATCATGTTAGTGTCTTACCTCTGGACTGTTGTTTCTAGTGTGTTTTCAGGAACTGCTCTATCTGGGATCCTTTGGTCCTGTTAGCGTACGAGTTGAAGACTTGCCGGCATGAAAAATTCACCTTCTCACATATTCGGACGTGCTTCTCTAATCTTTCACTCGCAAACTTTCTGTTGCAGACTTTGCAAGGAAAAAGCTGGAGGCTGACTTCTGTGCTCTCCATGAGCACGAGCTCTCCCTGTTGTGGTCCACTCCATTGTGAAGGTCTAGATGGAAGAGTCGAATCCCAGAGCTGATTTCCTCCTGCCCCTCTGTGGTTTCCTGTATAAGGAGTTTTCTGCAGATTCACCTGAGGCACATCACTGTACTTTATTTTTTCTATTTCTCCACCAGTACCACAATCTGTCCCATCTCCTCGTTTTCCTCTGGTATGCTCTTTCACATTGTGCCATCTTGATTTGTTCAGTTCTCCACTCACTTCTTGTTTGCTGGATATGACCTTATAAGTGCCTTTATTTCCTTTCCTGTTAGGCTGAATAGTTTCTGAATCGTCCTGCTGTTCTTCCTTTGTAGTCCTCATTCTGTCCTCAGTCCTCTGATCTTGTTTGAGCCTAACTTGCTTAAAATCATCATACCTTCTGTCCTCCATCACTTTATCTGTGCCTCGTGCTAGCGCTCTAAACTGGAGCTCAGACATTCTGGTATTAGTTTGAGCTTCTCGCACCTGAGCTCGTCCTCTGTTGTGTCCCTCCTCCCTACTCGTTTTCTCATTACCTCCAGCATAGTCAGCGCTGGCCCTCTGGAGCTTTTGTCTTATTTTTAATTCAACTTTCAAGAGCTTCTCCTGCAGCATGAGCTGTTTTGCATGGATTGCTTTGGTCATCTGCAGCTCTTCACTGGGCAGTCTGTCTGACAGTGAGGCTACGGTGGTCTCTGTGATGTCATGTGAATGATGCTCCTGGGGTAACAAAGGGGCTACTGGTTGAGTAGAAACTGTGATGTTTTCAAAATCATCCAAATCGAGTGAAACCTGAGGCCTGCTAGGTCTTCTATGGCTCACAGGCTTGTTTGGAAATGGATGATTTACTGCATCTGCTTTCCTATTAGGCACGCCACATCTTTCCCCTGCAAAGTTGTGGTGCCCCTGAGGAGTGTCTCTTCTTCTATGTGTGTTCATGACTTCATCTGTTGTTACAGATCATAAGCTGTTGTTCCACAGATTCAAAGATACCTGAATCCACTATATGGGGTCCTTTTATTGTATAATTTCTGTGCAAAAAGCAAGCAGAAAAGGGAAAGGGTAAGGCTTGTACAATATCACTGCCCCAATTCCAAAAAAGTTGATGTATAAAAGCTTATTTAAAAACAGGATGTAGTAATTATCTGAAAATCTCATAAACCCACATTTTAGTCACAACAGATCATAGAAAGCATATGACATGTTTGAACTGAGATAATGTTATCAAATAGCAGTTTTACTGTTTCATAAAAAAATATTTTCGCATTTCTGAAAAAGTTGGGATGAGGCAACAAAAAGTCGGAAAAGTAAGTAAAAAAGAAATTCTTGAAAAACATTTTTTAGTTCATTAGATTTATCTGCAAAAGCTCAGTAACACCACTGGGTATAAAAAGATTTTAGAGAGGCAGGCTTTCTCAGAAGTAGCGGTGGGCAGAGGTTCACCAATCTGGAAAGAAACTGTGTCTGCATTTGAAACCTTTCAATATCATATCATATACAGTACATATTATCATCAAAAGGTGCAGAGAATTTGGGGGAAATCTGGGGAAAAAATAGAGGGACCATTACGCTTGTTATCAATTCCAAATTTTAAAAGCTTTCAGCTCTGAGGGCATGGGGGTACATTTATGCCTATGCAAAATTTCCCAAAATTTCAGCAGCTCTAAAGAAATGTTTCTGCCATCACCTTTATTAAATGTTTCTTTTAGTCTAGGACTAGGTTTAATCCATGCTTGTAAAACAGGCTATAAATGCAGGGGGAAAAAAACTCAAGTACAAAGGTAATTAACGCACTGCTTTAAAAATATCTGTGTTACAGTTCAGTTTATCAACAGATATTTAGGCTTAATTTGGCGCATGGTGAGATGGTCAAATGCTTCAGAAAGAGACAAGCATGTTTATTTATTTATTTTTATTAAAGTGTTTTTAACGGCACAAGATAGGTTTTGTTAACTTTTTAACAACAAAGACCATAAATGTGCGCTCGACTAATAATTCAAAAAATACCGATATGTTCATGTCTTTGTCTGCAATAACATTTATTAGATAAAAAATAGAATCCAGTTTCAGAAAACTCTCATAAATATAATCTGCTATCTACTTACCAGCATACCGATGTATATTTTCCTTAAAAATCCTGTCCTTCCAGCGTTTACATTTGTTGCCTAGATACAAAGCTTCTCGGTTGTTTTCTGATTGGTCCGGTAAACAAACACCACTTCCTGTAATCCTCTGTTCCAGCCCAGTAGGTGGCGATAATGCAATTAGGAACTCAAAGAAGAAGAGGAAGAAGAAGTGGCGTCTCGTATGTTTTGAATTTGCTGTAATTCGGAACTGGGTCGGTGTTTCACGGCTTCTGGATAAAATTCAGGTAAATTAAATGATAGCGAGTTTTTGCGCAGTAAAGTAGCAGTAATACTAAGCTAGGTGCGCTATGTATTATTTATGTTGGCATAGCTTCAGTCACCTGTGATTAGTGATGGGCAGATGAAGCCCCATGAAGCACTGAAGCTTTTCATCCAATTGGTTCACCCCAACGCGAAGCTTCATGAAGCTTCATTTGCTCTAGCAGGACACCTACTGGACGTAAAAATAATAGCTGGCATGAATTTGAAGAGTGTGGCATTTTGCACACAGCCTGTAAATGTCAACAACAAAAGGAGTGTGTAAAACATGTATATTGTAGTGATGGCAGTATACTGTGTATATTTATAGTGGCAGTATGGGAAATGATTATTTGGAAATGCTTGAAATGGAAATGATCATTTACTGTGAGGTGAGGTGTGGTTGGGGTGTGGACAGTGGTTGTGCTTTTGTAACGTTGAGGTATGGACAGCTACACACTGAGGCTTTGAGCCTCAGTCCTGCCTGTTCACATTTTATTCTGTAAAAACTAAATTTTCACTGCTTTTATGACCTTTTTAGTGGGGAGAACATAGCTAGGATTTAATGATTTAACAAATCTTTTGAATCCTTTGTCCTCCACAATGCTAAATGGCTGGGAGTCCTCAATCACCATGCTGACCAGGTCTTCATCTATTTGAGATTGTTCTCCTGAGGAAAGACAATAAAGATAAAGCACAAATATAAATATCACATACGTAACTTATAACAGTTGTATAATATTGTTATATCATTTAGTAACATTACTGCATGCTATATTATCATGGCATTTGATGGCTCACCTGGTCTTGCTCCACAATCGGTGTCCCCCTTATTCTCATGCAAAGCTCTGTAGTGCCTAAGCATGGATGAGGTGTTGTTGTTATATCCCAGCTCCCTGGCACATAGAAAACACTTCACCTTGTACAAAAGTCAAGACAGCTCAACATAAATTGTATTGCACCATCAGTATCATGAAAATACATCTTCTGTAGAAATTTACATACCTTGTTGGGAGGAATAGAATCAAAATGTTCCCACACAGGGGAGGACATCCTCCTCTTCTTAGCTGGCTCCATTCTCTCCTGACTTTCTCTCCTCACTCTCATAAACCTCCAAACGGTCTCCAAACTCTCACTAACCGCAACTCTCCATCAAACACCCACATTTTGAATGAAGTCTGGGGGGTTTATATCGCTGTCATATCTCGCGGCAAAGTTCGAACCACTTCATGAACCAGTCACGTGGTACAGCCGGGCAGCGAGGCTTCGGACGTCATCATTTTCAGCTCCTCCCATAAATGAAGCAAGCCTCGATACGCGCTTCGCGGAAACGCCCCCTCCATTACTCGACACACGCTCCGAAGCCTCGATACAGAACGTCCCATCACTACCTGTGATTACAAATCACCTTTAAGCATTAAAGGACTGCCTTTTTTTTCTTTTTTTTTAAGATCCGTTATGGCCGATGAAGACCTAATTTCAGTGGATTATGAGATTTTTGGCAGAGTGCAAGGTGTATTTTTTCGGAAATACACGCAGGTGAGTTTGACATTGTCCCTGTATTCCTATGATTACCATTTTCTTACTATTATGACATCTCTTTTGCCCTCCACGATCTCAATAATAATAATAATAATCCCTTTTGCTTTTTTTTTTTTCTTTCAGGCAGAAGGGAAGAAACTTGGCCTTGTTGGCTGGGTCCAAAACACACCAGCAGGAACAGTGCAAGGGCAGCTACAAGGCCCACGCAAAAAGGTGAAGGAAATGCAAGAATGGCTGAGATCCACTGGGAGCCCCAAGTCACAAATAACCAAGGCAGAGTTCAAGAATGAGAAAGAAGTTGACAGCCTAGAACATTCATCTTTCAACGTAGTAAAATAACTGTGCCTTTAATAGTAACTTATGCAGATGTTTTATTTATTTAGTCTTTTTTGTTTTTACTGGTTGGAATTTAACATTTAAACTGAATGGGAGGAAGAGGTGTACTGCATTCGTTTGATCTCCTAAATGTTCACGGAATATGTAACAACATTAATAAATGGGAACTTCCTTCATTGGGACTCACATTGTCTGATTTTATTGCAATAACAGCAGTGAAGGAATATTCAACTCAGTCAGCTTTAACATGCCTGGTTGTGAAGGACCTATACTCTGCATTTAAAGTGGTTAGCGGAGGTGGCTACATTGTTCAAATTTTTTTTATTGTTTAGAAGCCTTTAACAAAATTATATTTGTTCTCATGGTCATGCAAACAGGCACATGTGTGTGCTTGCCTGTTTTCAAAAGAAAGCTGTAATAATAACACCTTTTCAGGGTTCATCAAAAGCTCTTAAAGACTATTTACGCATAAGGTAACATAAACTATTTTGCTAAATTATCAAGATACTGATACAAGCTCAGTTATTCCAAGGACAAACACCCTGATATTGTTGGGTCTTCTGGTTTAAGATAACAGGTAAACGCCACACATGCCAATAAAGTGGGTAGGTCAGCAAATAATTTGACTTCATGTTGGTATGAAAAACACAGGTGTATCTGATGTGTCTGTGCAGACTTACTGGCACACTTGTACACAAACGGGGCATTTAAAGTTATTAATAAAATGTGTTTTTCCACTGTAACTTGATGTATCGAGACATGTTAGGATGATGTTGCAGGCCTGGCCACTCTTGAGTTTGCTTGAGTTTTATCCATATCGAGGTATACAGTGGGCAAGCTAACTGAGGGAGATGTGACTGAAATTGTTTTGTTGACTTCTTAACTGCAGAAAGGAAAACTGACTGGGTGTATAAGCACATTGAACAGCACACTCCGTACAGGAGGTGGCGGTATGCAGTAAAAGCAGGCTAACTTACGAAAGAAGATGTCTGGTAAACATGGCACATTCAAGTCAACGCGGTCATCGAAATTTTCCAGTAAAGCTCCGAATTCCCAGCTACAAAGACGCAAGTGTAAGCAATCGAAAGGGGTGACTATGACAAACTGTAGACATTAATATTAGCATTGTATATAGCTGAAGTCATTAAGTCATACGCATAGAAGTTTCCGAGTCGACGCGAACGCAGCAGTAAATTCAACCACACCAGAAGGTGGCAGTATTATAATATTAGCCAGTTTTAAGCGGTTTTGGCCTGTGTTTTTGTTTCACGTTGACTGTACACAACAGCTGAGGTATTTGAGGGCATGGTTTTATTATGCTAAATATTTTATCATATTTAATGAAATATGAAAGAGGTTTTACTTCAAAATGTCAAAAAGTCCCCTTTGGAATTAGCTAGCATTAACTACTTAGCAACGGTTAACTAACTTCTTACTTTGCGGTCGCCGGTACAGGTGATAGACCACAGATACAAAGAGAACTGAATTTAATTCCCATTATGATTAAGTGTTTACCCAAAGAGGTTCAGGGGAAGCTTCGCTCCGGTGTCGCTATCCCCTCGCTTCAGCAGTGTGTGGAGGAGCTGATTTTAAACAGCATCGATGCCGGGGCGACCTGTGTGGGAGTCCGAATGGACATGGAGGCATTTAAAATTCAGGTGATCGATAACGGTGCTGGGATGAGCGCCGAGGACATGGCCTGTGTTGGGAATAGATACCACACAAGTAAATGCACTTCTGTGGCGGACCTGGACAACCTCAGGTGGTATGGTTTCAGAGGGGAAGCCTTGGCGAGTTTAGTTTCTTTAGCCACACTTGTTGAAATCTCCTCCCGGACCAGATCATCTGTAAAAACACACGTTAAAATATTCAAGGAGGGGAAGGGCTTGGAGGTCTTTGAAGCAGAGGCTGCTCGACCCTCAGCGGGCACAACTGTCATCATTTGTAACTTCTTCCACAACATGCCTGTCCGAAGGAAGAGGGTTGATGCCGTCCTGGAGGGTGAGAGGATCAGGCACAGAGTGGAAGCTATTTCCCTGATGCACCCCTCTGTTTCCTTCACCCTGAAGAATGACTGCACAGGAGCCATGATGGTGCAGCTCCCGAAAGCAAGAAACACTTATCACAGGTTTGTTCAGATACATAATCTCGGGCGAGCAGAGAAGCTGGGAGAAATCAGCCACACATACAAACAGTTTGAAGTGATGGGTTACATTGGCAGAGAGGGCCACTACAACAACAGCTTACAGTTCCTGTATGTGAATGAAAGACTGCTGTTGAAAACACGTATTCACAAGCTGCTGAATGTTCTCCTGCGCCGACTGACCAGTTCGAACCAGAAGAATGACAGTCCGGATGGGCAGTCTGTCATCAGAAGTCCAAAGCACAAGCGAAGCCAAGATCTGTATGGAGTGTATATCATCAATATTAAATGCTCTTACTCGGAGTATGACATTTCCCTCGAGCCTGCCAAAACTCTAATAGAGTTCAAAGACTGGGATGGCATTTTGCTCTGTGTTGAAGAAGCAGTGAAAGCTTTCCTGAGGAGGGATAACTTGGTGGCTGTCATTACTCAAGACGACTTGGACTATGCATCTCCAAGAGTGTTTGGAACTGGCAAAACAGAACCAGAAGAGAACGGTGACAAAGGTGGCCAAACAGCTACCACTATTTCTACAATGGACTGTAGCGTTGGCACGAGACTGGCATCTGAATCTGTTCATCGTAATCACACAGGTGACAGTGTTTCTAAAGATGGTGTTTGCCTGGAGGCTAGATCGGATAAAAGTGAACAACCAGGCCAGCAAAAGATAAGTACAAATGAGTTGCAAAATGTACACAGTGAAAAATGTTTAAACAATGCATGTAGCGATGAGCTGATGTCTGATCTGGCTACAGTGGAACCTTTATCTTATAAAATTAATAAAGAAGTGGAGCCCGCATATAGTGAAGCTGGGGAAGGTTCTAATATTTTGCATATTTCAAGAGAGCTACTTTTAAAAGAAGGAGATGACAGCTTCATTCAACAAGCCCAGCCTGCTTTAAACTACACTGAGAGAATAGTACCTGACTGTCAGGATACAAGCTGCCATGCACAGACTTTAGTAAGTAAGAGAAAGATCAGATTGTCTGATCAATATATTCAAGAGCGTCTGCAGAGTTGGGACCTTTTGCAAAACAATAGGCCAGTATTTCAGGAGGAAAGTTTAACAGTAAAATCTGAAGAAAAAGCTTCTGTTGCGAAACGCAAAATCTCACTAGACACAAGCAGATCTTCTCAGAAACAATACAGAGACTCTTCCTCTGTTGTCCCCTCAAAGATTTCCAAGATAATTTCATGCCATAAATTGTCTGGATCTCTTGACAAGTTTCGACGAACATGTGTTAAATCTGGTGAACTCGAATCACAGTTACCCAAGGCTCATTTGAAGAACGACACTCCTCAGACAGACCGCGTTGTTTTGAATACATCAATTTTCCAGGAAGTTCAACAAGAAGATGAGATGCAGGACAAAGATGAGGCAAAGAACAGCCTCCAAAGCCCGCCAACTCTCTCTATTTTCACTAAGATAAAACCAGAATCAGCACAGAACCAAGGTAAAAAATCTTTGGCAGCTAAACTCCGTCATTTGAAACAACATGGGACAGATGATTCAGAGGTATCATTGGATTTTTCCAGAAGCATCTCAAAGGATACTATCTGTGTCAGTACTGGAATTGACGGTAACCAAGATAGCAATGAGATTCCCTGTGACCCTGAGTTCAATATGAGGCCAGCCTCAGGTTGCATTTTAAACCCTGAACTTGCTATGAATGAAGAGGCTATCACATCGAGCGACTGGCTCCAGCAGTACGACGCATCTGTCGGAAAGACGGTTTATGTGAACAGAGTGACCGGGCTCAGCAAATATGAGGACCCAGCTATGGAGGAAACTCAAGTGCGCTGCACGTCTGATGTCACCAATATAGCAGTTAGTGTCATTTCTGAAATGGGTAAGTTAGCACACAAAATTGCACATATGCACATTAATACAGATAATTTGTTTACTGTTTTAATGCATGCCGTCATGTCCATGTAGGGATGGAATACAGGTGTTACCCATTTCAGGTGGATCTAGTGTTGCCATTCCTGCCTAAATCCAGACCAGAAAGGGTGATTAGATCAGGGCCTGATTGTAGAGGTACCTCACAGATTTATAAGCGTGTAGGCTGTAAGGTCATGACCTCAGATAATGTACAAAATGCAGTTGATAATTTGCAGCCTTTTATTATCTCGTCTTTACAGGTGATGTTGGTGAAAGCTCAAACTCGCTTTTTTCATTGTACTCAAAATGGAATAATCCCGTGTTTGTCCGCCCTCCAATGGTAATGAAAACACATTTTTACTTTGTATTAACTCGATTTAGTAATGACTCGAACTGATTGGCTCATAGCAAAACACAAAGTCAGATTTCACTTCGGTGGTTTTGTTTTTGATACTACATCATCCCTCCACAGGTCGGTGTGGATATTTCCAGTGGACAAGCTGACGGACTGGCCGTAAAGATCCACAACGTCCTTTTTCCATACCGCTTCTCTAAGTCCATGATTCACTCCATGAAGGCAAATTAATCTCTCAGCTGTTACCACTTTTTATTAGCAGTTTTACAAATTTCAGTAAAACGCTGTCATAAAGCTGTGATGCAATTCTCCTATAGGTTATTCATCAGGTGGATAAAAAGTTTCTTGCGTGCCTTATTAGTACTAAGGATGACGAGCTGGTGGAACACACTGAAACTAAAGGTGAAGTTAGAAACATTAAATCTTTGTCATTTATTGTTTTCTTGAGACATGTTTATTTATTTATTTGTACATTTTCAATTACAAAACAGGAAACCTGTTGGTGCTGGTAGATCAACATGCTGCACATGAAAGAGTGCGACTTGAAAATTTAATTGCAGGTAAAAAAAAGAAGAAGAAGTGAACAGTAGTTTAGTTTTGTTATTGAAACACTGATAATGCTGTTAATAGGTGCTTATTGTAATTCTGCAGTCATAGCTGTTTGTGCTGTCACAGATTCATATGCAGATGACCCAGATGTCCCAGGAGAGAGATGCCTGTGTACTTCAACCATTTTGCCACCTCTTGGGATCAGTCTAACAGAAGAGGAGATAAGGCTGCTTAGGTATGGAAATCTATTGGGTGTATTGGGCAACAAGCAAAGAGGGAAAGCCTGCAAAGACAGAATACATATAGTAAATATCTTCCAACACCCCTCATTTCTTCATATTTTGTTAGGAAAATGGGAAATGGGTGCAGTTGTTTATTGAAAATGTTCATGGAAATGGAGTATATGAGGCAAAAACAGAGTTTGTAAAGTTGTGATAATATTTGGTGACCACTTTTATCCTTAAGAATGGCCTGAAGTCTTTTAAGCAAGCTTTTCTTTCTTTAAGTAGTCTTCAGGAAGGATTTTCCAGACTTATTGAAGGACGTTCTTTGGATGTTGGCTGCCTTTTGTTCTGTTCTCTGTCAAGATGGTCCCACACTGCTTCAGTAATGTTGTAGTCCTCTAGGGAGGCCGGTCCATGAATGATAGTGTTCCAGCATATATTTTTTTTCTATCCAGGCATGTTTTTACTGTATTGGCAGTGTGTTTGGAGTCATTGTCATTCTGAAAAACAAAGTGCCTAGAGATACAATTTAATAAATGGTCAAGTATACTACTTTATTGTATTTTTTGCACCACATGCTTAAGCTTTGTAGACTAGCAGTAGTACATAGAGTTTGTGTTCAGATGTTATTTAGTTAGTACTCATAGACTGTTCTTGTATTTTCCTACAGGTCCTGTCAGCCACATCTAAGGAGTTTGGGCCTGGAAGTTCATTTTTCACGGGCAGCAGATCTAAAAGTGTTTGTTGGGAAAGTGCCATTGTGTTTTATGGAAAAAGAGAGTAATGAGCTGAGGCGAGGAAGACCATCAGTTATAAAGCCAATTGCTGAGGTAAAACTGTTTACTGTTTCACTGTTTTTGCTAAGTGAGGCTTTTACAAAGCTGTTCTCTGATATGTACCGCTTAATTTTATCTGACAGGAGTATCTTCAAGAGCAGATTGAGGTAAGCTAGTTTTTTTTCTGTTTTCCTATGTACTAAAGTTCTGTGATGCACAATGGTATGTACTATTTGCTTTGGAGTAATATATTTGGTTTGGTTTGGTCTTTTTTCATTCCCCAGCTACTCCGCTCAACAGGTAGAGTGAGAGGAACTTTGCCTCTCACTGTTCTGAAAGTGCTCGCCTCACTGGCATGCCACGGTAAAGACAATCAGCTTCTCTCAGGCCTTGAATATATTTTTTCTGTGATTCTGAGCCTGAAATCTTTATGCTTGTTATTTTTATACATGCTTGCATTGAACAGGTGCCATCAAATTCAACGACACCCTAAGTAGAGATGAATGCCACAGCTTGGTGGCATCCTTGTCTGCCTGCCAGCTGCCCTTCCAGTGTGCTCATGGCCGTCCATCTATTGTTCCCCTCGTAGACGTCCTTCATTTGGACAAAGACCACACGGTACCAGAACACATTGCACATTTGAACTCTGGACTAAAAGTCAGATTCAAGGAAATGTCCAGTGCAATATTGTGATGATGACTAAGTATTGTTGTCCTTGCAGGAAGTCCAGAAACCCAATCTCCGAAAGTTGAGAAGAATGTATAAAGCATGGAAGCTATATGGGAATGCTTAAGGGTGTGTATTTTGTTTTTAAATGTGTTGTTTTGTTTCTAAGAAGAAAAAAAAAAGATTCATAACTTATTAAATGGTTCAGATATTCCTGTTTCTTTGCCCAAATTCTATGGCTCAAGCTTTTTTCTTGTAATCTAAAGCAACAGAAAGTCATAGTAAGATATATACAGCACTGTGAAAGCCTGTTTGCCCTCTTACACACTACTTAGTTTTTTGCATATTTATCACACTTAATGTTTCAGATCATCAAACTAATTTTAATATTAGACAAAGATAATCCAACTAAATATAAAATGCTGTTTTCAATTAATTACTTTATATGTTGAGGGGGGGGAAGCTATCCAAACCTCTCTGGCCACATATAAAAAGGACTGTAAGTATAACGTATGTAACATGATTTGAGTAACAGTAAGTTTTGTTAGCTGTAGTAGTTTGGATTTTATCGTGTGGCGCTCATAATGTTATAAATGTCAGTGCTATGAAAATCCTTCACATCTTTGCTTCCACATGCGCATCATGTTCAGTTTAACAACTTTATTCTGGGAGTTTTCAGTTCCCACAAACATTTTTTGCCTATTATGTTACTTCACAAAAAAATTGCTGATAGCTCATTGAGATATGATTTATTTAAAATAATAGATATTACTATAAGAAATTCTTATAATTAATTCTTTTTGGCAGACTCAACAAGGTGCTGGAAACATTCAAGATTGTTGACCATAGTGATATGATAGCATTACACAGGTCATTTGAGTATGGGGACACGAGTGTCATGTTCAAGAAACCAGTTTGATATGATTTAAGCTTTGTGACATGGTGCATTAACGTGCTTGAATCAGCCACCAGGAGATGGTGCACTGTGGTCATAAAGGGATGATCATAATCAGTAACCGTACTCTGGTAGGCTGTGCCATTTAAATAATTCCCAGTTGGAGCAAAGGGGTACAAAGTGAATTAATAATAATTGGAGAGCTATGTTTAATTGTCTTAAAATGTATAGCAGCTTTTGGGTGTCTTTGCAGGCCTCCGCGCCTTGCAGCAGCACATTCTTGCAGACATGTTCTAGAGTTGGGCGGCAGAGAGACTTGAAGCGAGAGCGCTGTCGGGTACAGTAGGCGCACAGCATCGACGCAGCGCTGCTCCTTTGTTGTGATTGGAGTATTGAGCAGCTGTGTTGCAGACCCCTTCTTCCCCCACAGTTCCGGGTCATGCCACGTGACTTGCCCGCCCCCACATGTCCCTCCCAAGTAAACAATTCAGCATCGTTTCATTATGTCTGTGAACAATCCCTGATTCTTATCATCGGTGGGAAAAAAAGCCTGAGCTCGACAACAGATGCCTGTCACACAGCTAAAACCTCCCAGCATAGTCCGCATTTTATCAATGTGAAATGGCGAATGGAGATGAGATGGGTTTTTGGATTCGGATAAATTATGGAGCTAAATATAAATGCGAGCTGCAGTGTGTATTTTAAAATGGTCGAGCAAAACATGTCCACTTGACCTTGGAATCAAATGAGGTTTTATTGAAGAGGAGCCGTTTCCACCACGGCTCTATTTAACCTTTGACTAAATTGATACAGCACGGCGTTAAGTTTTTATCGCCCAGGAAATGGTTACATAGGCATATTTATAAATAGACTCGCGTTTTTCATCCCATATTGCATTAATAAGAGGCCGATAGCCATTTTTGTGAATGGGAGAGAGGGAGGGGAGGGGGGGTCTGGTCATCTTGCGGTGCCTAACTGGCGTAAATAAAAACAAACCAAAAGGGATAAAGTGTCAGATATCGCTCATGGAGTGCATATAATGGTGGATAAATGTCAACAGGATGGCCTTTTACTCCAAAATATGCCTATGTGGCTGTCAGTCTGACCCCCCTCCGCGGATGGTACAGTCTTGGTTCATTCATAAAATTCTAGCAGAGCATAAAAGGAGGGGCTTGCATTCTAGTCGTCCAGTTACCAGGTAGACTATACCTGGAGAAAAGACCCGAGCTGCTCTTCCCCAGCGGAAGGCCACAGTCATATTTGTCATTAATCAGGACTCGTGTGTGCGTGTGTGTGATTTTGCTTTTCTTTCTTTTTTTTTTCTTTTCTTTTTTTTTCTCCTCGTGATGTATCAAAACAACCTGACGCCTGACATGGATTCAGTCTCCCCCACCTGCCGGGCAGAGTCTCCTGTCGGGACACTCTGCCAGAAGACGCCAGAGGAGGCGAGCTCTCCAGCGTCCTCCACAGAGAGCAATGCAAAGGTATGAATGGCTTTGTTGATCATTTATTTAACACGCTACCCAGGAGGCACCCCGTTTAAAACAGATTAAAGATCACCATTTTCTCTCTCTCTCTCTCTCTCTCTCTCTCTCTCTCTCTCTCTCTCTCTCTCTCTCTCTCTCTCTCTCTCTTCTTTTTTTAAAGTGAGCCACAGACTGGATGCTCAAATGCTTTCATCTCTGTGGTGGGGGGGAGGGGGAACTGATTGATAAGATTTAAATTAACTGGATGCGGTTAATTTTAAAGCATCATATTTATATATACATATATGCCTATAATACGTGAGACATCGGAAATCTGTGCATGTGGAAATGTGACAAAATAGCCCTGTAGGTCGGTTGTTATGATTCCGACGTCCTGGGACCAAAATGCAAGCGTGTCGATGCAGCGGTTCATTGAGAAAAATAAATCCATTCAGGAGACTCCACAGCATCTCTGCGTCAGTGTTGACGTCAGAAACAATGATAAAGTCAAATATTGATCTGGGAGAAGGCTATTTCTGGTCGGGTATATTTCAAGAAGAGACACCACATGCAGGGTGTCCTCTGTTTTAGACTATAAACAAATGATTAAGAGGCTTTTATTGATTTTCAGCATCACAATCAGAGCCACGTGAAACCTCTGGTATAAATGAATAAATGTAACTGTAGTCCTCATTGTCAGTACTATCTCTGCTTTTTCAGGAGGTCTGCCAAGACATGAGCACTGAAGACACTCCATTTGTTCCAACGGTTACAGCAATTTCCTCTACCCCAGATTTCCAGTGGATGGTCCAGCCTACGATTATTACATCTGTCTCCCCGTCTCTGGGTAGCAAGCAAGCCAATGAACCGCGAAGCTCTCACCAGGCAACACCCAAAGCGGGCGGGAGTAAGGGAAAAAATGCTGCCAGAAAGGGGAAAACAGAGCAGGTAGGTTAGCTCCGATGAAGTCTACCTGCTATTGGACAGAACAGTCAATAGTGTCAATTTGCATATGCCAATCTGAATTCCTTGTGTGCAGCCGAGCTATTGTGCATGCTCCTCTGGTGCCGTGTGCGGGCTGTGTGCCTTCCTTAGGCAGTCAATTTATATTCAGGTCACAGCAAATCTGCAACAATAGTCTATTTTTAGACGCATTGCAGTGAAACATGCTTTTGCCACTCTTCAGAGGGCGAACTGGGAGCGGGTGTTGTGGATTAGGGGAAGAAATGGCTGGATTCTTCGTGGTAATGACTGAATTATTTCCCTTACATCCCAGCTGTCTCCTGAGGAGGAGGAGAAGAAGAGGATAAGAAGGGAGAGGAATAAAATGGCTGCAGCAAAGTGTCGCAACAGAAGGAGGGAGCTCACAGATACACTGCAAGCTGTAAGTAAACAGTGATTAATTTGCTCAGCTGTCATTTACACCTACTGCGGTGTGTTTTGCTTTTTGTTTGTTTGTTTGATTTTCCACATGGATGATTTTTTGGTGTCGATCTGTTTAAAGGAGACAGACAAGCTGGAGGAGGAAAAGGCTGCCCTGGAGACCGAAATAGCCAACCTAATCAAAGAGAAAGAACGGCTCGAATTTATTCTTGCTACACATAAGCCGGTGTGCCAGGTGTCAGAAGAGCTTGAATCCATTTTCCAAGAGTCCACAGGGTCTCCAGGCCTACCGCCCAGTCCAGACGAGGACAGGCTTCCAGAGGATGGCACGCAAGAAGCTCCATCACTCCAAGACATGGACGACCCCAGCGATCCGTCCACAGCCATCTCTGGGAACTCGAATATTTTGCTGTGTGCAAGTGCTGAAATCAACATCTGTGATCTCGAGCCCTCCCTGGACCTTAAGGAGGGGCTACTGGACAATATTTTACCCACGCTGGAGGAGAAGACTCCCATGGAGACAGCTCGATCCGTGCCAGACATAGATCTGAGTAGCTCTCTCGGGGTCTCGGACTGGGAGACTCTGTATAAGTCGGTTTCCAGCGACCTGGAGCCTCTCAGCACTCCCGTGGTCACCTCCACCCCTACCTGCAGCAGCTACCTGTCTGTGTTCACATTTGCGTGCCCTGAGCTGGACTCTCTCACAGAGGGACTAGACAGCCACAAAGGTGGAGGAAGCAAGGGCGATTCTGTCGACATCCTCAACTCTCCGACTCTCCTAGCCTTATAAAATGCAAAGAGGCGCTGATCTGTTTGATCTCTTTCTGGTCTCTCTGTTTGCAGGTTCCCGACGTTGAAATGATATGAACAACGTATGCTGTAATGCTTCAAGGAACACATTCATGAAAAGTCTTGTACATGACTAAGCAAACATATAAACTCTCTTCAGATACATAGTCAACAGAGTGATGTAGCTAAAAGCATGGCTTTTAATTTAACCGAAAGGACTGAAGTAAGTTTTGATTTTAAACGCATGCTGAAAAATTCCAAATAATTTTCAAAGCTCATATCTGATCTGTTACTAGATCTAAGCTGTAACGTGGAATTTAATGTAACAGTATGGTTTTGTGTTTTTTGGTGTCAGTAGTGTACTGATTGATGTAAATGTCTTTACATATCCATCTAAGTACCTGCGTACCTCATCAAGTGTGGTTTGACCTCATTGTTAAAATGTTGAAAGTTTTCCATGAAAACATTCAGTGCTATATACTATTATATATATAGATATATATATATCTTATCAAGATGTAACTTATGATTTATTTTTTTACCTTTCAGACTTTGACTTATTTGTTTAAATTTAAAAACAAACAAACAAGTAAAATGGGCATATATTGCTTAACTATGCTGCTGAATAACTACAATAAATCTGCGTTCACAGTGGTGCTCGGTGCTGATCACTTTGTGGACTTTGAATTATGAGGGGGTTTTTCCTCCAAAGAAACTTAAAGTAAAATTCCTTTAAAATATTTCAAATACAAATATTTTTATTTTATTTGTAGTACCCTTTAGATATTTGCTGTTGAAGAAGTGGAGGTGGGAGTTCACTGTAGATCAGTGGCCGTACTGTTTTTCCAGCGCAGGCCTGCATCTGAGTCGTATTATTGTGGTTGCAGCGGCAGCAGCAGTATGCAGCCTCCCTGTTTCTTTATGGGAGGAGCGGTGCGACTTCCCCACTTCTGCCCCCACTATGTAGGCTACTTTTTTTCTAACATCCCTGCTTACGTTTGACTGGCATAGCCTAATTTCCGCATTCCCAAATCCTCCCAGATTGGGATCACGTTTAAAATCGGGCTGATGCAACGATTTCCACTTTTTAAAATATACTCTCGACCCTCGGCTGACCAGAAGAAAGGACATTTGTTGCACCTGGGATCAAAGTCAGGTCGGTATACAAAACTTCAGAAGTCGAGAGTTGCATATTTAATTTATTTATTTATTTTTTATTTTTGGTACATGCTGAATAGCTTATTGGCGCGCCACACATAGGTCATAACGAGCATAGTTTGCGAAGAGGCAGCGGGCAGGTCTGATGTTTTCGATTATACGGTGCGATCGATGCATTCTCTGAATTTCTCTGTCAAAGCAAACCTGACATCTTTAGTGATCGTGCTGCAGAAAGGTCATTTTCTTTTGTTTGCATGCTCCCTTTTCATGAATCACGGCGTGCACAATTCAGAACAAAATGTTCTTGTTTTGTCTAGTCCGCCGTTTACATTAGTGCCTCGCACTGATTCTCAAAATGCGGGTTATCCGAGCGGCTGTGGACGGAAAGCTGTAACATTTTATCACTGCAGGTCTCTGATGGAAACACAAAGTTACGTAAGATGGGCTTAATGCCGCACTGTAGAAAAAAAAACTTCCGCTTTCAAGTTGACCAATTCAGCTACACCACTATATAACTGGTCAAGCGATTACATTATTAAACGGCTCTAAATGTGCTTTCATGCATAGCCTGGGGGTTTCAGCATTGTAAACAAATAGTCTGGTGATAATAAACCATGACCAAGCGAGTTGTTTCTATGGGACATTCAGGATTAGCCATTAATAAAGTGACTATTAGTAGAGAAAGTTTAAAACCACCTTCGGGGCCCCTGCATCAACATTCAGATGGCAGTCACTGGCTCATAATGTGTGTTTGGGGTTTTATTTTGAGGATAGAAAAAATGATAAGCAAAAGTTACATTTGGCTTTAAGTGTTTTTGCTTTCATTTCAAGCTAAACTGCTCACACATTATTTCTCCGTTTTATCATGGCTGTTATGCTTTAATTGCAAGCAGAGTTTTGTTTTTTTTATGGCCTCTCTACTTCCTCTTGGTCTTTATAACCTGAACTTTGAGGAAGTTGCAAAACTAAAAGTTATTCCCATGTGAGATTATTATGTAGCCTGTGAGTTCATGTTCTGAGGAGAGCCACTGCGATTTGACCCCCCTCTTTAATAAACATTAGTCTACACAAAGAACACAAAGCCAGATTGCTGTTTCTTGTGGTTATATATTTTAATTAGAATTTGCCTTGGTTGTTTTTGTGATGTGGGATAAAGGTACATCAGAAGTTTTTTGGGGGGATTTCATGTGACTTGGACATCCGCTGAGCTGCTGTAGTAACTTCCTGTATGTTGGGTGGCTCTCACCGTCTTTGTATATGCTGAAGTGTCCTTGTCTACATATTTGCCTGTGCAAAACTGTGGTAATGTGTTCACACAGTGTCGCATTAACTTTGTTTTTCAGCTAAAGAAAGCAAACTATTTTCTTAAACGTTACTGCATTATGCTATATTTTGGCTGCATAATTTCACGTCTTTATCCTCAATTTTGGCTCTCCCCCTCGATATGTCTCATATTCAGGAAATCACAGTCACCCTGTAACTATTTCTTGGCAACTGCTACCTTTAGCGCCCCTTGGAATAAAGTAGAATTTGTTTGAGTCTAGTCTTTGCAGTGTTGTTCACCTCTCTTTTTGGCCTTGTAGTATTAGATGATGTACTTTCTTGCCATGATCCCTGAAGTTTTAGAAATTGTTTTTTAGAAAATATTGCAAAATTGAATAAAAACAACATCAGTCCACCTTTTGCAAATGATTCATTGAAGCCCTCTAACAGATGGTACATAATGCACTTATATTTGTTATCAACTCATAAATGTAAAGCATTCCTGTAATGTATTCAGTTTTTTATGTGTTTTCCTTAATCTGACTTGGTTTGTTGTCTGAGTATATCTCCCGTTTTCTCCCTCTCCCGCCTAGCTGTGGTCACGACCGAGTCTGACACGATGCCAGGACAAATCCCAGATCCCTCTGTCACAGCAGGCTCCCTGCCCAGCCTGGGCCCACTGGCTGGGATCACAGCCACCACGCTGACTGACAAGCTCAAATTTGGGGACCTCCAGGAGTTTGGGACAATGCTATCACCTCTGCATTTCCTGGATAGTCTGGGGAAGAGGCCTCTAATAATCAAAACTGAGGTATAGGACACACTAAGCAGTTGATAACCGTTATCCTTTAAACTAAGGCCACGTTTTAAGTTTTTACTCAGCTTACATGTTCTTTTTAAACGTTCATTTCTAAAAAGTGGCTCCAAGGTGTGCTTTTAATGTATCTGCTGTTAAAAAAAAGGCATGGAAATTGTCTGCTAACTGTGTTTAAAATCTCGCTTCTGTATCCTAAAGAAATATGTTTGCTGTTTATATTTTATTCAACAGGACCATCTAGTGGACACAAAGGGACATGTAGTTTATAGAGCAGGTAGATTAGTAATAGTGGCAGAAGTACAGGTAGTTTTTTTAATGCTGTCCCAAAGTAGTGTTTACAAATAGAGTTAAAAACAACAACACCCTACATATATAAAACAATGAGAAGAAATGGCTTTTTATATGAACTTTCCCGCTGTGTCAGATGTCCGTGAGAAATCACGTCCTCCATACACTTGCACAGGTTTTCTTGGGGAGATTTGACTTCTCCTGCCTTAAAAAAAACACGTCGGGTTCATCAATTACCTGGCGTTCAAGGATGCTTAGGCATGCCAGACTGTGCCAGGTTAAAAAATGCTTTTTTTCTATTTTTATGCATACCATGACTGAAACAGAAGGACTTGCACGCTAATGTAGAGGGAAAAACAAACCAAAAGGTCTTTAGTTTGGGGAAATGTCACTTTGACTTGTTTACAGTGATAGCAAAGAAGAACCCAGTAGGTTAAATACTAATATTAACACATACACATTCCCATCCTTACTCTGTTCATGGACTGCCTGCTATTGTATGGCAGATTAATTGTGCCTGAAGGTGTGTTTAAAACTCTTGTGCCTGTCTCTAGAGAGACGAGGAGGAAGAGAGGAGAAAACGAAGGCGGGAGAAAAACAAAGTGGCTGCAGCTCGCTGTCGAAACAAAAAGAAGGAGAGGACAGATTATCTACAAAAGGTGAGGCACATCTAAGGAGCCTCCTTTGCATGATTGCACACTCTCACATACTCAACTTGTGTCTCACTCTTTCCACAATTATTACTTTGTCTTCCTTCCAATCCCATGGCAGGAGTCGGAAAGGCTAGAGATGTTAAATTCCGACCTTAAAGCCCAGATTGAGGAGCTGAAGCTTGAACGACAGCAGCTGATCCTCATGCTCAACCGCCACCGCCCCACGTGTATTGTCAGGACAGACAGTGTCAAAACTCCGGAGGGTGAGGTGAGCCCCCTGCTGCAGCAGCTGGAGGCCAAGTGAAGGTTGTAGTGCGAGTTCCTACAGTTTACGATTGGGAAGAAGCAACAAACTAGCAGCACTTACGTTTGGGGCCTCGGTCGTGGAGGAGAACCAGCCACTGAGCGCTACACCACAAAATGTGGATCCACTGTGCTTAGACACTGTTTTGGCAGTTAAATCAATCTTCTTTCATAGTCTTTGTTTTGTTTTGTTTTTGTTTTTTATTGTTCCTTCTTGCTTTTTCATTTATTCTTCATTTTCGTCTTCACAGGTCCAGCCACAATTAGTGTGAAAGTAAAGAAAAAAACACAGCACAACTTTTGGTAGAATTACAAGCCACACACGAGGCATTACTTTGATATATTTCCAGTAATTACACCTGTGTTTTAATGCTTTTTGTTTTGTTTTTTTGTAGTTAACCCTAAAACAGAACTGCATTCGATCAGTCAGCTGCACAGATGATTATTTGTTGCTGTGTGGGATGAAACTAAGTCACTGTTTCCATGCAGGGAAAAGGCGATACCCCAAAGAGACAGTGTTTGTAAGTTATCAGGCTACAAATAGACATCTTTGCAGCATGATGTGACCTTGACTGTCCTTCAATTGTTAAAATACATGCAGGGAATTGTAGAAATATCATTGAAATCTGTGGGGAAATAGTTATATATGTATAAAAAAATAACTACTGGAATACATTAACCATCACATACAGATGATTTTTTTATTTCTGTATAAACCCACAGTCAAAGAAGCCTTTGTATCGCATAAATAACCTCAAGCATTTTTCATTTGTTGGCACAGCAGCTGAACATTTTTTCTTTATTCCATTGTTTTTTGGCGCAGGCGTCATGTATGCACATACATATATATATATACAAGTGTTTACATTGTACTTTATTTTCTGTTACCATATTGTTACTAGCAATTATGTTTATGTTTTTATTCTTTTGTATATGGTGTTATATAAGCATATAAGCTATCACAAAATCCCATTTTGTATTTCCTTAAGAAATAAATGTCTAGTTTCTTTTTTTAAAATTATTGAATAATATTTTTTTGAATCTTGCAAAATGGAAGACGTTTTATAATAATATTTTGTGCACAAAAAAAAAGTTTCAGGAGCAAAGTTTCTGGTAAACCCTGACATCTTGTGGTGAGCTGCAGCACAGCTCATTAACCTTCCTGCTTTATTAAGTGTGCCTATGCCAAGAGGCACACTTAAATATCTTTAAACTACTTAAAATGTATTAACTATAATATATTGCTCCATACCTCTCCACCTTTTTTAGTCATGATGGATTCTTTGTAGGTCCAGTAGTAACTAATGTGCAATAATAATAAAATACTACTTTAGATTAAATGTGGACCATCGTTTGGTTTAGACATGTAAATCATTTTTTAAATTATTGAAATAAGAAAAACACCAAATTCTCAGCATGCACGAACAAATAAGCACAAAGACGCCCGTTGTTGTTATCAGAGGGGATTTAACACGCAGATTAAAACCGCAGTGGCTGAGGCAAAAGGAACTAAAGCTTCAGGAGAGAAGTAGGCTGACAGCAACGTTACTGTAAGTTAGCTGAGCTCCGAGTGGGTATTTTTTGCGGCATAGTGATAATTTGCTGTGTTGCAACAGGGGATGAAGTCGAAACATGCAACAGTACTGACATGAGCAGCTCAGACAGACTGCACTGTGTCGTCTTCAGAGGTTATCTCTGCTCTGTCATGTTGAGGGTTTCTCTCAGAGCTCCCGAGGAACAGCCACTGTCATTTCTTATCTCAACAGCTGGGTGGAGTAAAAGTCGGTGTCAACACGTTCTTCAAAGGGAATTTCTCAGAAAGCTCAAGTGTATATACTCAGGAGCCGGTTAGACATCTCAATTAAAGGCTGATCAGTCTAAAGGGGTTCGAGGCACAGAGGAAGTCCGACAGCTGAATGGTTTTTGGCAGTGTCACGTGGAACGAAAGTGATACTTGGGTTTTTTCCCTCCTATTTTCGTTTTTTTTCTTTTCTTTTTTCTTTATTAAAGGACATCTTAAGTAGGTTAGTGTCGCGGTGGCTGTGCTTCAGTTCAGTTCAGTTCATTTCTGGAGCAGATAATGGGGGACAGGTGCGCTCCGGATACGACGGAGAATGGTCCACACATGGGAGTAATAGGTCCAGCTGCCGCGGACCCCATTGAACACAGCGGGATCATAAACAGGGAGAGCGACTTGGGGGTCACTACGCGTCTATACAGGAGGCGATGGATGATAGTGTTCCTCTTCAGCTCTTACTCTCTGATCAACGCTTACCAATGGATCCAATACGCGATCATCAGCAACATAATTATGAAGTTCTACAAGGTGGAAGCCTTCGCGGTGGACTGGCTGTCTATGGTCTACATGCTCACATACATCCCCTTCATTTTCCCAGTCACCTGGCTCCTGGATATTAGGGGACTGCGGGTCACAGCGCTGATTGCGAATGCGCTCAACTGCGCCGGGACGTGGATAAAGGTGGCCAGTGCCAAACCGAGCCTATTCTGGGTCACCATGCTTGGACAGTTTATGAGTTCCTTTGCCCAGGTTTTCATCCTCGGGATGCCCTCCCGCCTGGCGTCGGTGTGGTTCGGAGCGAATGAGGTTTCCACCGCCTGCTCCATTGGAGTTTTTGGCAACCAGGTGAGTTAACACAGGGAGTCGGTTAAACAGACCTCAATTTCTGTTTGTTGCGTAAAACCCATGAAAAATAATGCCTAATATCTGGTACATTTATAGACATTAGTAACTTGGAGTAGACTGGCTCAATGAACATCTTAGAGTGGAATCAATTTAAATATTTCCATTTGGGCCCAGCTGACTTAATCTTATCCTTCCAACTTTATAGAACAATAAGTTATGGATTTAATCAAATGCAAATGTTAGGCTGTATAAAACTAGACGTTTTGATAAAGCTTGTAAATAATGATAGAAATGTGCCAATAATGATATTCTGCTTCTTTGGCTATGTTTTTCCTGGTGCCTGGTTCCTGTTGTTTTTTTGTTTTTGTTTTTTTGTTGTTGTTGTTGTTTTTTTTTTTGGGGGGGGGGGGGGGGCATTAATTTGCGCTGTGATAAATATCAGGTGTGTTTTCTTCACTTTCTGCAGGCAGTGAACTGTGGGTTTTGGGGGGTCCCTCTGTGCCACCTGGTATACTTCTTTGTCCACCAGGCAAAGAGGCCCTGACTAAATCTGATCTGTAAAAACTGAAGGAATTTGTTTTTGATTGTTCGAAAACGGTGTGAGTGATGGATGCACCCACTACACCAGTTATATTTAAACTGCACCGTCAATATCAATGAATTGCCATTGCAGTGGTTATTTCTATTTGGGCGTGTTGTCCTTAATTGGCAAACCAAATGGGGGAGACTGGGTATATTTGTAAAATTAAGAGAGTTGTAGCACCGCCAATCCCACCAATCAGAGATGAGATAGGACTCATATGGTCACTTCGGTGTCTACCCACTTCCATTCCTGATTTCATATGATGATTGACATGGCAGGAAACAACTGCGTGTAGATTTTTATTGGGGGGGGGAGAGTACAAAAGTAATTGTTTTGACCAGCACTAAACTTTGTTTATTATCCAAATCCCAAAACCAAATTCAGTGTATTTATGTAGCACATTTAAAAACAGAAAGTTTGCCCAAAGTGCTGTACAGAAACAAAAGGATAAAACACAAGATAAAACCACTGCACTCACATAAAAACATAATAATACACATGATAAACATATCAACTCACACCAGTCTGAACGCTATTGAAAAAAGGTGTGTTTTCAAAATGAAGATCCCTGTCTAATATTTAAAGGCAGCGTATTCCAAAGTTTGGGGGCCATAATTGAAAAGGCTCGTTCTCCTCTACATTTTAGCCTAGATTGATTTTGGGACAACCAACAGCAGCTGGTCAGCTGATCTGAGGGTCCGCGAAGGAATCTAAGGCTGAAGTAACTCAGAAAGGTATGGGGGAGCAAGACCATTAAGGCATTTATAAATCAGCGCTTTGAAATCAATTCTGTCATGAACAGGAAGCCAATGAAGAGAAGACAGGATTGGTGCCTGTGGGTACCAGTCAAGAGGCGGGCAGCAGCATTTTGAACGAGCTGAAGACGTGCAACAGATCCTTGGCTGACTCCAACATAAAGTGCATTACAGTAGTCAAGCCGAGTTGAAATATAGGCATGTATTACCTTCTCCATGTCATGTCTTGACTAAACTGGCTTCAGCTTTGCTATTTGCCTCAACTGGAAAAAGCTTTTTTGCAACACAGAACTAATATGTTTGTCCAATTTAAAATCTGCGTCCATAATGACTCCCAAATTTGTCACATGCTATTTGATATAATACCCTAGCCAACCACAATTCCCATGCGGGTTGCATTAAATATTGTTAGGTCTAAATACAATCACCTCCGTTTTACTCTCATTGAAACTCAAAATGTTCAGAGCCATCCAAGCTTTGACATCTTCAAGGTAGTTCAAAAAAATTGGATGGAGCCTGGGCCATTTGGTGCTAAAGGCAAATACATTTGGCAGTCGTCTGCGTAGCAGTGAAAGGATATTTTGTGTTTTCTGAAAATAGACCCCAAAGGGAGCAGAAAACAAATGTCGGCATTTTATGTAAAAGTCTGAAAACTAGTGCAAAAATTAATTGAGTTACAGATGCTAAAGCAAACAGCCAGTCTCCCCTACATGTGTTTGCAAACATGTGAAATGACACTGTGCACGCAGGATGTTTAACCGGTTCTTTTAAGATGATCTGCCCGCTCTGTGGCTACATCTCCACTGAATTTTATTCTTGTTTACTTTGCACAAGCTGATGATCACTTCACATCCTTACAAGTCACTTAATACAAGTCCTGTACCCAGAATCCTTGCAAGCTACAGAGAACTAGTTTACTTACTGATATACAGGATAGTGTTTTCATATGTGACAGTAACACAGACCCACCAATGTTTAAGTACCTTTTTACAGTGTAGTTTGAGGGATTTGTGAAGAAAAATTATCAATTCTATTCAATTCAGTTTTATTTATATAGCGCCAAATCACAACAGAAGTCGCCTCAAGTCGCCTTCTGAAGAGTATAATATAAAAAAAGAATTCTAAACTTAAATAGTAAACTTTTCACTGCACTCGATGCAGCCTTGTCAAAATCGGAGTACACTCGATGATTAAATAGTTTATAGAACCACCTTTAGCAGTGATAGGTTGATGTAATCAGTTGCTATGGAATTTTATCAGTCTCGTATCACTCTGAAGGAATTTCCACTCTTTTTTACAGCATTGCTTCAGTTCATTGGGGTTTGAGGACATTCATTTCTGCAAGGTCCCACGATCAGACTGAGGTCTGGACTTTAACCGGGTCATTGCAACACCTCGATTCTTAAATTTTTCTGCTATTTTGTTGTGAATTTGCTGCTGTGCTTATTTTGGGATGATTGTCTTGTTTCATAAATCAATTTTGGCCAAGCTTTCAGTCAGACAAATGGTCTCATGTTTGCATACTTTAGCATAGAGAGTGGTTCATAGTTGACTCATTGACTGCAAGTGCAAAGTCCTGTGCCAGCAAAACAAGCCCGAATCAACAACCTGCCACCACTGAACTTGACAGTTGCTATAAGGTGTTTGTGCTGTTGTGCTATGTTTGGTTTACACTGCGCATCACAGTCAAATAGCTCCAATTTTGGCTTGTCTGTCCAAAAGATATTATTCCAGTAATTTTGTGGTTTGTTCAAATGCAACATTTGGAAAAGTACATGTTGTCTGTTAGGAGTCCTCCCTTAAATGTTGCGTCATTAGAAAGCCTTGCTTGTGCTCTTGACAGTAGGATTCATATAGATTGCATAAATTGTACTTAACGTAGAGATTATGCTCGCCTCAGAGGACAAGGATGAATTGCTGGGAGGATAGAAATATATTTTTAAAAAATCCCCCCGAGCGTGAGATTTGACAGGTGGGGCAACTGTAAAGTCAGGTTTCCAATTAGAGGTAACGAGATAAGAGATAACTCTTTATTGTCATTCCTCAGTCTAGTACAATAGTACAACAAAATTGGAAACTGTCCCACTCGGCATTACGCACAACACAACACAACAAAAACAAGACAACACAGTAACTTAACTTAATAAATAAAAAGAAATAAAAAGAATGACTGTATGAATAAAAAGAATGAGTCTATGTTTTTATTTCACATTGTTATTATTATTATTATGTTATGGGCCCCCCAAAAAGTCCAGGGAGGTAGCCAATCAGGTCAACTGTTAGCACTGATTAGGGCTATTGCCCTGTTGTAAAAGCTGTCCTTGAGTCTGTTTGTCCGCGACCTCAGCAGCCTGAATCTCCTGCCCGACGGCAGCAGCTTAAACACCCTGCGGATGCTGCGTGCCCTCTTGAGACAGCAAATGCTGTGCAGGTCCTTCAGATAAGGGTGAGGATGTCCAGTGATTTTTGGGCCATATTAATGACCCTCTGAAGTGCCTTTTTGTGTGCCATGGTGCAGCTGAAGAACCATACACAGATGCAGTATGTCAACAGACTTTCAGTGGAGCAACGGTAGAAGACGATTAGCAGCTCCTTCTTCAGGTCCATTTTTCTGACGGTTCTCAGAAAGTGGAGACACTGTTGGGCCTTCTTTAAAACCGCCGAGGTGTTTGAGCTCCATTGGAGGTCTGTCTATGTGCACACCCAGGAACTTAAAACTGGAGACCCTTTCCACACGCTCCCTGTTGATGCTGACAGGCTGCAGCTCAGACTTCCTCCTTCTGAAGTCGACTACCGGCTCTTTTGTCTTGGTGGTACTGAGGTCCAGGTTGTTGTCTGCACACCAATCCGACAGCCTCTGAACCTCAGACAATGGTGTCTTCAGTTGATCTAATAGCTCTGTATGTGAACTGGAGCAGGACATTAGTTAGCGATCGTGGCTCAAGAGTTGGGAGTTCGCCTTGTAATCGGAAGGTTGCCGGTTCGAGCCCCGGCTTGGACAGTCTTGGTCGTTGTGTCCTTGGGCAAGACACTTCACCCGTTGCCTACTGGTGGTGGTCAGAGGGCCCGGTGGCGCCAGTGTCCGGCAGCCTCGCCTCTGTCAGTGAGCCCCAGGGTGGCTGTGGCTACAATGTAGCTTGCCATCACCAGTGTGTGAATGTGTGTGTGAATGGCTGGATGACTGGATATGTAAAGCGCTTTGGGGTCCTTAGGGACTAGTAAAGCGCTATATAAATACAGGCCATTTACCATTTATTTTTATTTCACTTAGACTTTTGTTTCAGTTTAGTTTCTGTTAGTTTCCAGAGTGGACTTCCTCATTTCAGTTTAGGTTTGTTTTTTTAATGATTTTTTTGAAACGATGATTTATTGATTTTGTCAGAACAACACGAACAGCAACAAGTCAGCACAGCCAAGCACAAAAAAAAAAACAAAAACAAAGCAAATGCAGGTATATGAGTTACCAGTACACACGCCTGGGACAAAATATGTAAAGCGTTTCACATTCGAAGTCAAGGGAAACAATGAAAAAAAAAAAAAAAAAAAAAAAAAAAAAGGGGGGGAAAACACAGACATTAATCAGTGTGTTTAAAAACAAACTGCGAGTCCCCTTTATGTAATAGCACAGTAAGGTCATGAGGTAGGTGATCAAGCAGAGGCTG